ATGTATGTTTTATTTCCAGCACTGCCGCTTGTTTGCCGCCCTGGGCCGCTTGGGTAGGGCGGGATATAAATCCCTAAATAAATAAATAAATAAATAAAAACATAAGAGATGCCAATGTTGGATCAGGCCAAAGGCCCATCCAGTCCAACACTCTGTGTCACACAGTGGCCAGAAATACCAGTGCCATCAGGAGGTCCAGCAGTGGGGCCAGGACATTAGAAGCCCTCCCACTGTTGACCCCCCCCCCAAGCACCAAGAAGACAGAGCATCACTTGCCCCAGAGCCCCTAGCTATACCTTGTGGCTAATAGCCACTGATGGACCTCTGCTCCATATGCTTATCTAATTCCCTTTTGAAGCCGTCCATGCTTGTAGCACCCACCACTTCCTGTGGCAGTGAATTCCATGTGTTAATCACTCTTTGGGTGAAGAAGTACTTCCTTTTATCCGTTCTAACCCGACCGCTCTGCAGTTTCATGGAGTGCCCACGAGTTCTTGTATTGTGAGAAAGGGAGAAAAGTACCTCTTTCTTTACCTGCTCTTTCCCATGCATAATCTTATAAACCTCGATCATGTCACCCCTCAGTCGTCTTTTCTCCAAGCTAAAGAGCCCTAAGCGCTTTAACCTTTCCTCATAGGGAAAGTGTTCCAACCCTTTTATCATTCGAGTTGCCCTTTTCTGCACTTTTTCCAAAGCTATAATATCCTTTTTAAGGTGTGGTGCCCAGAACTGCACACAGTATTCCAAATGAGGTCTCACCATTGATTTATATAGGGGCATTATTATATTGGCTGATCTGTTTTCAATACCCTTCCTAATAATCCCCAGCATAGCATTGGCCTTCTTTATTGCAGTCACACACTGTCTCGACATTTTCAGTGAGTTATCCACTACAACTCCAAGATCTCTCTCTTGCTCAGTCTCTGCCAGTTCAGACCCCATCAATGTGTATTTATATTTAGGATTTTTGGCTCCAATGTGCATCACCTTGCACTTGGCCACATTGAACCCCATTTGCCATGTTGACGCCCACTTGCCCATCCTTGACAGATCCCTTTGGAGTGCCTCACAATCCTCACTGGTTTTCACCACCCTGAACAACTTCGTATCATCTGCAAATTTAGCCACTTCACTGCTTACTCCCATCTCCAAATCATTAATGAACAAGTTAAAAAGCAGTGGACCAAGTACTGATCCCTGCGGTACCCCACTGCTTACCACCCTCCACTGAGAAAATTGCCCATTTATACTCACTCTCTGTTTTCTATTAATTAGCCAGTTTTTGATCCATAAAAGGACTTGTCCTTCTATCCCATGATTTTTGAGCTTACTTAGGAGCCTTTGATGAGGAACTTTATCAAAAGCTTTCTGGAAGTCAAGGTAAATAATATCTATTGGATCCCCCTTGTCCACATGTTTGTTCACCCCCTCAAAGAACACTAACAGGTTAGTGAGACAAGATCTTCCCTTACAGAACCCATGCTGAGTGTGCCTCAATAGGTTTTGTTCATCTATGTGCCTACTAATTCTTTCCTTAATAATGGTTTCAACCAATTTACCCGGTATCGACGTCAGACTGACTGGCCTGTAATTTCCCGGATCTCCTCTGGAACCCTTTTTAAAGATGGAAGTTTGTAAGCCGCTCTGAGAGTCTGAGTGAAGGGCGGGTATAAATCCAAACTCTTCTTCTTCAGAAACCCTGGCCTACCCTGTAGTGGTTAAGTGCGCGGACTCTAATCTGGGAGAACCGGGTTTGATTCCCCACTCCTCCACTCTCAGCTGCTTACAACTTTAATGCCAGTAGCTCACAAAGTGGAATTTTTGCTCACAAGACTCCACAGCTTAGAGGGAACATAGGTCTTGAGAGACTCATACGGTGGTCAAAACCCAGGTCCCATCCAATGTTCCCTCTAAGCTGTGGAGTCTCGTGAGCAAAAATTCTACTTTGTGAGCCACTGGCATTTAAGTTGTGAGCAAGCGATTGGGCTGCTGCATAAATTAGTTTGCTCTGAAGCCATCCTTCTGGAGCTAAGACAATAATGTGTGAGCCGGAGGCTAATGAACTGTGAGCTAGCTCACACAAACTCAGCTTAGAGGGAACACTGGTCCCAACAGGAGGTCCACCAGTGGGGCCAGAAGCCATCCCACTGTTGCCCCCCACCAAGCACCAAGAATACAAGCATCACTGCCCAGGGCATAAGAGAAGCCAATGTTGGATCAGGCCAATGGCCCATCCAGTCCAACACTCTGTGTCACACAGTGGCTAAAACCCAGGTGCTAACAGGAGGTCCACCAGCAGGGCCAGAAGCCCATCCAGTCCAACACTCTGTGTCACACAGTGGCTAAAACCCAGGTGCTAACAGGAGGTCCACCAGCAGGGCCAGAAGCCCTCCCACTTTTGCCCCCAAAGCACCAAAAATACAAGAGCGTCACTGCCCCAGACAGAGTATTCCACCGGTAAAGGTAAAGGTTCCCTTGCTCGAAAGCCAGTCGAGTCCGACTCTAGGGTTGCGGTGCTCATCTCAGTTTCCAAGCCGAAGAGCCAGCGCTGTCCGAAGACGTTTCCGTGGTCACGTGGCCGGCATGACTAAACACCAAGGCGCACGGAACGCTGTTCCCTTCCCACCGAAGTGGTACCTATTTATCTACTTGCAATTTCTTGCTTTCGAACGGCTAGGTTGGCAGGAGCTGGAACTAGAGATGGGAGCTCACTCCATCATGCGGCAACCCGGGTCTTGAACTGCTGAACTACTGACCTTCCACAGCCTGTAGTTCAGCATCTTAACCACTTGAGCCACCGCAGCTCCTTCTGTGCCTTGTGTCTAATAGCCACTGATGGACCTCTGCTCTGTATGTTTTTCCAATCTCCCCATAAGAGACCATAGAAGAACCTGCCTTAATTAAATATTGTATAGTTCTTGTTCAGGTGCCCAGTTCTAAAATGCCATCCCTTCATGTGATCACTGTAGGATACTGAAGAAGTTTCAGTATACTGTCTCATACATCCAGTGGTTCAGTTTCCAGACGTTGAAGTCCTTGTCAATTTTAGCACAGGAAGCCACCGTAAAATTCTATTTATGAGTTCAGTTGACATTTACAATATAACACGCTTAAGAGCATAGCAGACCTCTCAAGCATTCTGCAGACGGAGGCCCAGTTATAAACTGGGAAATGGTTTCCAACATCATCTTTAATTTCACTTACTTACACTTTAATATGTTTCTGGGGACTATTGCTTCTTTCCAAACACAGAAATACTAAAAAAGAAAGAAAAGTAAAATGTGCATTGAGCCAATGCTAACTGGGATTTGAATTTGAATAAATGGAGAACACTTATAAAATGCCATCAGAGGTCACGCTCCAAGGAGTTAATTGGGGTTTGGGTTTGTTTTTTAAAACTATACTGAATGTTAATGGTTACGTTTTTAGCATCTTACTCGTGACTGTCATTGTACTTGTTTTGGGACATATCTGTAAATAAAAGGATGATAGAAATTTTCAAGATTATGCATGGGACAGAGCAGATAGAGAAAGAAGAACTTTTCTCCCTTACAATACAAGAACTCGAGGACACTCAATGAAATTGCTGAGCAGTCGGGTTAGAAGTGAACAGATAAAAGGAAGTCCTTCTTCACCCAAAGAGCAATTAACACATGGAATTCACAGCCAAAGGAGGTGGTGGCAGCTACAAGCATGGACGGCTTCAAGAAGGAATTGGATAAGCATATGGAGCAGAGGTCCATCAGTGGCTATTAGCCACAAGCAATGTTCCCTCGAAGCCTTGTGAGCAAAAATTCTGCTTTGTAAGCTACTGGCATTAAAGTTGTGAGTGAGCAATTTGACTACTGCATAAATTAGTTTGCTCTGGAGTAATTCTTCCTGAGCTAAGACAAAAATGGGTGAGCCGGAAGCTGAAAAACTGTGAGCTAGCTCACACTAACTCAGCTTAGAGGGAACACTGGCCACAAGGTATAGATAGGGACTTTAGGGCAAATGATGCTCTGTATTCTTGGTGCTTGGGGGGGGGGCAACAGTGGGAGGGCTCCTAGTGTCCCCTGGCCCCACTGCTGGACCTCCTGATGGCACCTGGTATTTTTGGCCCCTTTGTGACAGTGTTGGACTAGATGGGCCATTGGCCTGATCCAATATTGGCTTCTCTTATGTTCGTATGTATGGGGCAAGTGATGCTCTGTATTCTTGGTGCTTGGGGGGGGGCAACAGTTGGAGGGCTTCTAGTGTCCAGGCCCCACTGCTGGACCTCCTGATGGC